TATATATATATATATAAGGGTTTGGGGTTTAGGGCTAGGGGTTTGAGGATCCAGGTTTTGCTGCCTAGCTGACTGTGAGGGATTGGGATCTCACCTCGGGCAATCCTGCGTTTTTCTTTGCTACTCAGACTCCCTTGTGCAACTGGCCTGCTGCGACTCCGCCAGGACGAACACTTGACCACAATCCCTAAACCGTAAAACCCCAACGTTTAGGGTGTATGGTTTCCCCAAATCTCAAAACCCCAAACCCCAAATCCTGAAGAGTTGACTATCACAGGCGTGCAACGTCGGACCGGCCTTCGCCGAGCTCGAGCCTTTGCCTTGGCAGACAAGAATCATGTGGGGTATAAGGGCTCGTTCAGGGTTCAGGGTTTAGGGTTTAAGGTTCAGGGTTTAGGGTTTAATGCTTAGGGGTTTTGGGCTGAGGACAAGGGTTCTGAAAGTATGGAGTAGTCAAACTATTGTCCCCTCAAGGCCTTGATCTTCTTGTGCCTTGCATAACGATGTCCGCGATGAGCGTCCCGCTGACTTTCGGCTTCGACAAACCATCCACCAAGGATGAGGCAAGTCCAAAACAGACACTCACAACTAGGCACAGCCTTATACTCTGAACTGTAAAACCTAACCCCAAACCCAAACCCTAGGGTTTGGAGTTTAGGGAACCCTAAACTGTAAAACCGAACCGGGTATTGCTAGCTCACAGCGCTGACAGAAGAAATGACCAGGACGTTTTGGGAGGACAACAGTTAACCGACCCCAACACGGCGCCGTTTCCTCCACGTGAAGCCAGCGCTGATGTTAGGGCGGCATGGGCGGTGTCCCGCGCCCAAGCAAGGGAATTGATGTGCTGGGGCTTCGGAGGGTTTCGCGGGAACGACATCCGGAAAAGGACCCGCCTCGTGCACCTCACCCTTCCTTGTAGCCCTAATGTAACTGGGTTGAGCTTCCGTAGGCTCTTCCTGCAAGCGCCTCCTTCCCCAACCAAAATGTCCATGTGACGCCAGCAAGGTGTTGCAGGTGAGGCCCAGCTGGCACAGCAGCCAGAGCAAGCAGCGAGGCCCGCTGGAATCGTTCAGATTTGGCTAGGTGGCCTGTTGAAGTGTTGTAAACGATCAATCAGGGACTGCCAGAATTGGGGCATCGGCAACTAACCTGAAGCGGCGGAAAGCAAGGGCTGAGCGCTTTCCCCATTTGGAAAGACAAGGATTTTGGATTTGGAATTCTGATGGTAGTGTATATAGATGGCTGGTCACAACTTCTGCAAAACAACACTCGTTTGATTCCGCTTGATGGAGGTGCCCCAGAAAACATGCTTACTCTGCAGGTTCCACAAACCTTTTACACCTGGGCTACGCATATGCCAGGAACCAAGGCGCCGACTTTCCACAAACCTAAACCTTAAACCCAAACCCTAAACCTAAACACTCTCTCTCTCTCTCTCTCTCTGCGAGCAGACTTTTTTTGGAGCCTGGGGTGGGGGCAGGCTAAGGGCTTGGATTCCGCGAGCGCGCATTGCATGGCGCCCTGGCAAAGAGGCGCTTCAGAAAATGGAGGACCAAATCAGAGAACCTTATAAGCAGTAGCGAAATAGCAACGTAATGGTACAGGATCCTATAAACGAGATTGAAGGAGCCCTGCAATTGTAGAAGCCCGCGCGACGGCTAAGGACACAACCGGCATCAGCGCCAGAGCTTGAAGGGCTGTCTTGTGCCGGAAGGTTCCCTGGCAGGCAACTTTGGCTGCAGGGTTTTGGGCTCAGGATTTCTTCCCTCTCAGGGTTTCGGCTCTCAAGCTCGGATAAGCCAGGTGTGTTCTTGGCGCGTAGTCGGATGAGGTGAGACACTTCTAAGAATGTCCAAACTCTGAAACCACTGTAGCAAGGCAGTCTCATATCGTCATAGGACATCTTTAGAAGAAGTACTTCGGAAGAGCCTTGGCCCGGGGTCGAAAGTAAAATCAGAGCCCTTGGGATCATCATTCAGGCGGCACGCCCAGGTACTTCGAGGCTCCTAAGTCAGATTAATTCGCTCTGACGTGGATTTTGGATTTAGCGTGTTGAGCTCTGGGTTTAGGCTTACTTCATCTAGACATTTCATGTAGCTTCTAGCGTTTCGAGCTTTTGGCTCAGGGCTTCTAGGGCGTTTTCCCACAGGATGGACCCACATAAAGTGCTCAAGTTGGGGCCTTCTGAGTGGCTGGAGATCCCTTGCAAGGAATCATCTCTCGTCATTCCACCTGGCACCGAATGGCGAGACTTCTGGTTTGAGGGTCGATTGAGGGTTCAGGCTGGCGAATTTTAAAACAACTCTTCATGAAGAGACAACACACGAGGACCAGACGCTTGGGTTTCTCCGGCAGCAGTTGAAGCACGTTCAGCTCCTGTTGCTGGCAGTTCTGAGAAGCCAAAAGGTAGGAAAGCCGCGTGTCCTGATCCGGCATCACCTCCAACTTGGCTTCCTTGTGGTGCCCCGAGCCTTACAGACGATTTTCTCTTGCAGGGCCTGTCAGAGCTGGAAGCTACCCGGTCAAGCCCGGTGCCGGCTAAGCTTGGAAGACATTTCCGCAGCAGATCTTCATCAGGACACACGCGGCCCTGCGGCCATCAGCAATGATCATGTCAAGGATTGCATGCAGTGCCATTGCCGGCATCCGTCATTGTAGAGCTGACATCTTTTCCGCACGCGCAAGCCCCACGTGTAGGCTTACGACATGTCTCCTGAAAACCGCTCATTCCTTGCTACCGCTTCGTCGGGAAAGGAGCACCGGAAGCAAGACGAAGCCGGCGGGGTAGCTCACAGGCCATCGGAGACGCATGCCCCATGGCCGTTTGCATGCTCTTTTGCTCCGGAAAGGTGACCTCCTCCAGGCTCGCAAGTCGAGGGTTCTTTCCCAGACAGTTTTGTTGCCCACGGTCTTGGCATCTCTGACACCTCCGAGTTACGCACGTCCAGAGCCCGGGGCTGCGGTGCTATCGCACGCCATCGAAGCTGAAAGCGGATAGAGATGCAGTTCAGGACGACGTCACAACCAAGTTCGGCCAGGCTTGTCGCCATAGTCGGTACCTATTCCGTCGGGATCCGCCGGGAACTCTGCAAACGTGCGATGGTCTCAGGTGCAGTCCGAGAAGCCTAGAAGACGAGCTGGCGCGGGATGCTCTGCTCCAGGAACGCCAACCTTGTATGTTCTCATCCACACTTCATCCACCCGGCCCTTGAACTGCTTCGCATTTGCACACTGACTCGTGCGCACGCAGCACACTCCCGACAGGCCTCCTGCATCAAAGGCCCTCAGATGCAACGACATCAGAGTTTAGAGGCAATTCTGCTCACCTCGCCCGGTTGTCTGCCCCCCGGAACCGAGCGTCGCTGAGTTCTTGGAGAGAGCCCACTGGAGTAGAGCGGAGCGGGAGGCTGCCACTCGTTGGCCCCAGCTGTCCTCTGCCACAAGGGCTTTAGTGTTTCGGTGCTCATACTCGGAGGTTTAGGGTTTAGGGGAAAGTCTGAAGTCGTCAACTTCTGCACAAAATGTGTCAGACTGTCTGGAAGCACGACATCTGAGCCCCGGTCGTGGCAGGGTAGCCTTGCACAGGGGCTGCTCTTCTACAAGGAAGAAGTCCCGCGGGTTTCGGAACCAATGTGACCACAAGCCGTTAAACACGATCGGTCCCCGGCTTTGGCTTATCATGACATTGATGTGTATACAAATATGTGCGTGTCTAAAGGTCTGCATAAATAGATGAACATAAAAATATATACATATGTACTTGTTTACTTATTTACTTATCTAGTAGTGTGTGTCTCTATATGTTTCGTATATATATATATATATATGTACCTATATATGTATATAGCAACAACAGCAACAACAACTACAGCTGCCTCACCTGTGCGGTTCCGAAAATACGGCACCCTAATATAGCACCCTACATAGTAGGATCCTTATTTTTCCGACCCCCAAATACGGTACCCCTTATTGTCTGAAACTCCCACTTGTTTCTTCAGTCAGGCGGCCGAAACTGGGGGCAGCTGCCCGAGGGCTCCTGCAGCTGAGGCTGAAGCCGCGTCAGTCCAGATATATTTCTCCACAAAGGATTTAGGGTTTAGGGTTTAGGGTTTCTCCACAGAGGGTTTAGGGAAGGGTCCTAAACAAGGCAAGACGAACTTTCTCCGGAGGGTTTCGGGGGTCTCAAACAGTTCTTCACGCATGACGCCACAGGAGTCTTGCCTGGACGATTCGCCGCCGGATGGCTGCAGGCGAGAGCCCTGGACAGTGGCAGCAAGGGGCACCTGTAGCGCAGCATTAAGAGTGAAGAGCATGAGTGCGGTGCAGCAAGAACAATATGTGCCGAGACGCCAAAGGTTCCCCTGGACGCACTGGCGGGCGGGGTGCCGGACTGCTGTTCAAGAGCTCGTCATCCAAGTTTCCCTTAGCTCGCTCGAGTCACGAGACGCGGGAGATGCAAGGAGCGCAAGGATTCTTGTAATGTGGGGAAAAGCCAAAGCATCACTGACAACACCGTTCAATCGGCACACTATTTTCAGCCAACCTTGCTTCAGACGAAAGTCGAAGGATGGCAATGCCGGCTGCTTGGCCGATTTGCGGAGGGTGTGAACTGCTCCCTCAGCAGCTGCATCCTGCAATAGGCATGGATTTCGACGCAACTGTCCTAGGATGGAGCTTTTGATTCGTAAGCGCCTTCAGACCACTCAGCGGCATGTCAATGTACTTTGGCTTCACTTCCTCGGCCCAATCGTCTGTCGTGTATCACACACCCCGAGCTGCGGAAGTTACCGTAACAAGGAGATGATGTTGGCAGTACAACCCCACTGTCCCTACTTGATGAGACCCCGTAAACCTTTACTACACCTTAAAAAATTGAAGATATGCTAAACAGAAATCTATCTTAAACTGTGTCAAGAAGCTGTCGCCAGCGGGTATTGTGAGCGGGGCTTCTGCTTCCTCGGCACACTTGTGGGGTGACGGCGGCTTCGGGCTCCGGGTGGTAAGGGTTGAGGGTTTAGGGTTTAGGGTTTAGGGTTTAGGCCTTCAGAATTCAGGGCTCATCAAATTAGCTCCCCACCAGCACGCAATGAAGGACACCTAAGACCTAGGCTGGGCCAACATCTCGCTGACTTCTGTCCACGGAGAACTCGTTCTGCTCAAGCTCAAGTCATCGGCTTCTACATAACGAGGCGCAACATAGCAGAAACTCGACAGACAAGGGCCCATCGCCGGGCCCGTGAGCAAGCTCACCATAATATAAGTGGCTTAAATAATGACCAATACTATTTTGCGCTACTATTTTGCAGGGTTCCTTATTATAATTTCCGTATAGGGGGCCCCACAACCCTAATCTAATTCTTAAGGCCCCTTGTGTTACTTGCGGTTCAGCTTCGGCGGCGCAATCAGGTCCTCCGGTTCGGTGTCTGGCTCCTCTGGCTCTGCCTCATGGAGCGCTTTTGGCTGCGTGGGATGTGCTGCCACCTTGCTGTTCTGGTTGCAACAGTTTCTCAATGTTGTCGGAATTCTAGAGATTCGATGTTTTTACTCCACAAATCCTTCAACTCAGAAGACTACTGTGCCACGACAGTCGAAAGCAACAAGAAAACGGGTGGGGTCTGGCACGGCCGCGTGGAAGCGCAAAGACCCAGTCGAAGCATGCAAGAATACATCCCGCCCTTACAGAGCGGCCACAGACGGCCAAAGCGTGCGAGACTGCACTGGACCGGACCACCCACACAAAAGTGTAGGAGAGATGGACTACCAAGGCTGTGGACACGGTGTAAACCACTCTCCCCCTGCTGCTACTTCTACCTGCTGCTACTAGCATGACTGCCGGCAGGATTAGCAGCAACATTACGACGGGTTTGGATGGTCTGTTTTCGTTAGGAGCAGTTTTTCATGTCTGGGGTATCAGATTTAGGGCTTTGGAAGTTTGACGTTTTGGGAGTCTGAACCCTAAACCCTAAACCCTAAACCCTAAACCCTAAACCCTAAGAGTCTGAAACTCTGATTGACCAAGGCCCAAGCTCGAGCTTCGACAACTGCCCGAGACTCCTGGGCTTAGAGTTTCCGGATTTCGGAAATCAGAACAGCATGTGCCCTGCTGGCGACGGTTTAGGGTTTAGGGTTTAGGGTTGAGGTTATGAAAGAATATCGTGTTTCTGCGAGCTTCTCTATCAACATCCTCTTAGCTTTCCAGTGTTTCCTCCTGCCTCCTTCTCAGAAAGCTTGGACAAATTGGTGCAACGATGTAACAGCGCTCCAATGAGTGTTTCGTGTAGTAGCACATGAGCGTAGGTGTTGATTTTACACACATATCCTCTGTATCCCCAGCTCTAACAACCCCACGAACCATCAAGCGATCTCAACCGCTTGCCTGCCGGGCCTCTGCTTCAGCCTTCCCATGCTTCATCACGCCAATTCCTCCCCGTTTCCGAAGATTCCCCGATGCAATGAGTCCTCAGAGACAGGGCGAGTAAATCAGAACGGAGCAAGTTGGTGTCGGCGAAGTCGTGCAAGTGCCCGTTTGCCAAGTGCTGCTCTTGTTGGCGTTGTTAGTGACATGTACTAGTGACTGTGTCAGTCGTGTTAGTGCTATCAAGAAGATCATGCTGTAGCTAAGGCTTCTTCGATCATCCTGATGACTTCAAAGGCTTGTTGCTGCTCGTTCCTATCCGCAACACTGGTATCGCTCTTCCTGCTCACTTTCTGTTCAAATCACGAACCCTACACCCTGAACCCACCACTGTTCTTAGCTGGGCCACGACGTTCCCACTCTTCCGCAGTCCATCTCAGGGGCCGCCAAAACTCTGAAAAGCCCACCGCTCGATCACGCGCGTAGGTGTACCGCACCTCGGCTCAGAAGTTTATGTAGATACATGTAAGTATGTAAGTAAGTAAGTAAGCCACTAAGTGAGTAAGTAAGTAAGTATGTATGTATGTATGTATGTATGTATGTATACATGTAAATGTGTGTGTGTGTGTGTGCGTGGATACACAAATGTATAGATATATCGGTATCTAGCTTTATAAGTATGTGGATATATAGACACATTATAGAAATACGGATATACCGATATAGTGAAAGATATAGGTATAGATCTAGGAACAGCTATGGATGTGTGCAGATCTGTCATGTGCATGTATATATGTATGTACTTAAGTGCATAGGTACTTACATACAAGCATACAGACATAAGCATACATGCATGCATGCATGCATGCATGCATACATACGTACATACGTGCATGCATGCATGCATGCATGCATGCATGCATGCATGCATGCATGCATGCATGCATACCTACATACATGTGGAGATACGTGTGT